TGAAAAATAATAAGTAGTGACAACCTGTTGGCAATGATGGATATGTTAGAGAGTCTATATACAAAACTTAATTCAGAGTGAAATATTGTCCCCAAGATTGTACTTAGAAATTGAAGCTCTTTTGAGAATTAAAAGTTACTGATGAGTGTGTTAGTACAAGATTTTTAGTTTAGCCATAATGCAATTGTTCTATGTATCTCTATCAGTTTTTATATTGATTAATAAACATATAGTACTAACCTGATCATGGATTTAAAAAAAAAAAAGAAATATATATGAATATAATTAAATAAAGATAATTTAATATTATTTTTAATTAATAATAACTTATTTATTAATTTAATATCTATACTTAAAAATTTTTTACTATTACTTTGATTATTAAATAATTAATTTCAATAATATATTTAAAAACATATTGTTTGATTCAAGATTTTAGTTAGTATATTATATATACAGTATATATATTATAATATATATTTTATTTTTTTTTTTTTAATTTTAAATTGCAACTGATATTAGATGTGAGCCTTTATTAAGAATTAACTTAACCTTGGATATTAAAATTCTTGACATAACATCAATTATTTCCTACAAACTATATATTTTTATATATATGCAAATCATCATGATTATTCCTAATTAAGCCTATACTCTATTCTGAAAATGGGCAGACTCAATTAGGGATCAAAGATCAAATATATAGTCATTAATGGTATTGCTAAGACTATTTGATATTGAACTATTTTATATTATTTATATAATTAATAAACGAGTTCTCATATGTCATGTACCTGGATAGAATTGTATACTCTTTATTACTCTCTAATATTTTTTGCTCAAACCTTGAAAAGGGGCATGTTATCTTCTTTATTACCACCTATGATATTAGATCAATTCCTATTGACTGACTTTCAATTAAGCAGAGTATCAGATTGAAATATCTTGAACTAGAAGGGTGAGGGTCCTGAAGGTTGTCAGTTCAGATAAGGGTTATATATATTCAAATGATTACCACAGTTCTAAAAGTAGAGTCTTGAGTTTTTATTTTCTGTCCAGTTCAAATGGATGATTAGGTGTAACTCGTATAACTAGATTAAAGGTTTTTCTTTATGCAATCCTCACAATAGATCTGTTTCAATCCAGCAATCAACAGGAAGGCCAGAAGTTCCATCCTCATACAACTTGGTTATTTTTTCTCACATGGCCCTTACATGATATTAAACCCTAGACATTGTGATTGTGACCTGGGAGCATTACCACTATGCTATAAAATAAATCTATAAAATAGAATAAAAATAAAAATTAAATATAAGTAATTGATATTTACATTAAGTTGTAATAGTATTTTTAATTAAAGATTTTATTAATAAATTAATTTATCAGAATTAATTAAAAGCAAGCAGTTGTTTTTTAAATTACGATTCAAAGTTTCATTTTAAAAAATAAACAAGTTACTAATAACGTTTTTATACAATGTTATTAAATTAAAATTATTTTTAATAATCAAATTTAAAAATTTGATAATTATTTGTTTTATAATGATGTAAATGAAAAATCACTTGAAACAATGTTTAAAGTTTTTTAAAGAATATTTTTGAATAAAGTAAGTCTTTAATGAAAAATCATTCAATTAAATCGCAAAGGTGAAATTCAAAGCCATTAATGACTATTGTTATTTTAATAGTAAAATTTATTGATGAATAAAAAATCAATCATTTAATCAAATAAATATATTGGTTATATTTTTATTTATTTATTTTTTTTTAAAAAAAAATTTACTTATTGATAAGAATAATTGTTATGTAAAAAAAAAAAAATAAATAAACTAATCGAAAATTTAGCGTTAATAATACGTAATTCGAAAAATGAGATTATTTAATTCAACAGGTTCCTATTGGTCGATTAATATTAGAAATTCTGTTGAATGAACGATATTGTGGTTAACGAATTAAGCAAGGTTTTGACTTTTAGGGTATGCTTTTTTCTTTGTACCACCGTAGACCGCTTAGGTGAATCCGTACGACATGTGCTATTAGGGACGCTGCCCAATTATGGAGTCTCATTCTGGACCCCTACCCGCGGCACAAAGGAGGCGGTGCCCTTGACAATAAAAATTTTAAATTAGGAAATTGGAATTTGGCAAGAACCGGAAATAATGAAACAATAGGGGCAATATTTCATTTACTGTATATTTTTTTAGAGGAGGCGATAGTACGGTCAAAAAGTTTCGCCGTTTCATAGATCAGCTTCACGTTGTCAATTAGAACAGTGAATTTTTGGATAGTCGATGCATGCATGCGCGAGTCTTGTTCGCGACAATTTCTCGATCAATGAGTCGATCGAGAGGTGCAACGCTAAAAACATGTTAAAACGAATGGGTAAATATCAATGATATTCTGTTTAGAGTTTGCGTAATTCATACTCTCCTGCTATTTGCTATTATTAATAGCCTTTCGACTTTATAAAAAGCCGGTGTCACAAGTGCATTTAATTTATTTTCATCCTTTTATAGGTGTGATCACCTGTTTGCATTCGTTACATTAATGTGCGTCCGTAAAAGCTCCGACACATTCTTCGTTCGCCCCACACTATCGTTTCTTTTTTTTTAATTATCATCCACAGTAATTTCATCAGTATTGGTCATCGGTAATTCGGTTCATAGGTTACACCTGGGTGTTTAAAACCATTATTATTATTATCAGCGCAGAGTTATAGTAACATAACTGCCAAGTATAAAATTATTAAGGCTAATGGTAATAAGACTAGTAAAATAGGTACATAAAGAGCACCGATTTAGTTAGAGCTTATATTATAAAACCGAGTCAGTAAAACCATAGCTCACATAATTTTTATTGCACAATTTATTACGATTTTCTTTCTTTCTTTCTTTCATTTTTTTTTTTTTTTTAAAAAAAATTTTATTTTACCGGCTAATCACACATTTTCTCCTTGGACACTCTAACTCTTCTTCAACATTCATTGCCTTTAACATATATGCCGAGTTTCATAAACTTAGTTCCGTGATATATAATATAAAATCATGGAGGTCTTTGCCTCCGCTTTTTGTTGGAGAATTTGTTTTCTTATTGTTTTATTGGTGTTAGATAAAGTTCAAGGTATGATCGTTACGAAAAACAAAACCTTTTTCTTTTCAATGAATTATAACGAGAATCATGGCACACCTTAACTTGTTCAACTCAAAAATTTCAGCAACTAGTTTTGCTTCGAACCCTTTGACATATCTGGAGTTCGTAGGAAAACCCGATTTATACGTACTTCCCCGGAACAGATTTGATCGCTTGCAAACGACTTCGCTAAAACGCCGATCAGATCCGAATTCAGATAATGAGCCTTCACTACGACACGATGATTATATGCGAATACAGTTTGTAGCTTTTAATCGAACCTTTAATCTTCACCTGGAACCTAATCTGGATCTGTTTCACCCGGAGGCCACCATCACCATATATCATGCAGATCAAACTAGCACCACCACGCCACTGATACACGATGATTATAGGCTGTACAAGGGAGTCGTGTTGGACTCCGAGGAAACAGACAAACGATTGGACGAAGACATAATAGGTTTGAAGAGGAGAAGCTTGTCAGAGGAGATTGAAAATTCAGTAGGTGTTCTTGGATGGGCGAGGATTCAAGTACTGGATGATGGAGGGTAAAGGTTATTTTTCTTACCACAGTTCGAAAGGATAATTGATTTTTATGAATCCTAAATAGTCACTTTTTTAATCTTATTTTGGTTTTTAAAAAAAAAAAAAAAATACATCATTGGCATCAAACAGTCTGACACAACACCTGTAGGTTACAATATTTATGTCGTGATTGTATTTGAGCTTTTATAATTTCATCAATTAACTGTTCTATATAAATATATATTTCGTCATCCGAAGAACCAACAAACGTCAACCAACTTTCGAGGGCACATTTTCATTTTTAAATGATCTATATCACATAAAAACCATCAAGAATTTTAAAACCTCACAATACTTTGATGATCCTGAAATACCAAATATCTCCGCTCGTTCACAAAATGATCGAGAAGCTACCATGGTCATATACCGCGATTCTGACACCAAAAAAACAAATATCATGAAAAGATCTGCATCGACAGTGGGGGAGTCTTGTGGAATGGATGATCTCATAAGTGATGAGTACCGTAGGCGTTGGAAACGCGGGTATCTACGTGACGAAAATTTTGCAGGCGTCGAGGATCCATATTTCCATCACAACCCTTCGACTTATGTGAGAGGATTATTTCACAGTTTTGGTGGTAGTAGTTCGCTGTCCAAGAGAGCCACAACCACCGGATGTCCCACTGGACAAAAAATTGCTTATATGGTTGGTAGGCTTGTGATAAATCTCGTGAGGTGTTCGGGCACCCTTGCATTTACCACTAACAAATCGATTGAATGATGTGCGAAACTCTTTCTCCATTATGAGAAAATTATCGTACCAAGTTAAATGGAAAATTTGCCAAGCGATTGTGGGTGTCCGAATCACCTCTGTCATGCGCAATTTACATTATTCGGTGAATCTGAACTATTTATTGAAGTATTTCTTATCTATCTTTAATTAGGGAGTAGCTGCTGACTGCACATATGGTTGGTGGTCGTTAAATATTGATTGATTACTGGACATTGTAAGAACCAAGTTTTTATTTACTCGACTACATTCATTCCCTTTAGTCCAAAGCTACACTTCATCCGACCTGGCCCGAAAGCAAATTCTCAATGATTGGTCCACCGCCTCGGCTGTTTATGAGCGAACTTTCAATATAACGCTGGGCCTAATTAATATTCTAATTCAGGATCAGAGTTGTCCAACGACCATTAATACAACAATGGCATGGAATCGGCCGTGCTCCGGTGATTACACCATCGATGATCGGTTGAGTGATTTTAGTGAGTGGAGAGGAAAGTTAGGTATGTTGATTGCAATTGCTTGCTCATTATCCTATTGAATTTGTTAAATATCTTGACTTCGATAAGAAATACACAAATTTTTATGAACTCAATTAATCACTTATAGGTGACGACGGAACCGCCTTGTGGCATTTGCTGTCTCAATGCAAGTGAGTGCATTTAAGCATTGATTTTTTGTCGATTCGATTGTAGTTTTATTTTATTTTAATTTTATTTTATTCTTTTTCCCCAGTACTGGTACGAAGGTTGGTATTGCATGGTTAGGAATGGTGTGCAAATCTACCGCCAATTTACAAAATAACGGTGAGAATTAATGGATGTTTGTAAAATTTGAAAATGAAAATTACTTCCAATTATAATTGTTCCGATTACAATCTATAGGTACTTCGGGTCAAGCTTATGTTTCTGGAACAGCCGTTTCCACAGTTAACAAAGATGAATGGAAGGTTATCGCTCATGAAATTGGTCATGGATTTGGTATGTACACACTCGTCTATTATTTATTACATAATGCCGATATTTGACCAACACTTGATATCCTTATAGGTGCGATTCATGATTGTACGGCATCTACATGCCCGTGTACGCCTAGTTCCTGTATCTGTTGTCCGCTAAATTCAAAAACTTGTGACGCGAACGGACAATATATCATGAATCCAACTAGCGATGTTGCGACAAATAATTTCAGGTACACTTTGCGCATCCGTACTTCTATCTGATGAGATTTTGCGCTCTTGTCGAATAAACAATATTTTGATCCAAATTATTCATTTTTAAACAATATAATATACCTTAGTCCATGTTCAATTACCGATATTTGTAATTCTTTTCCGAATATCGCAACCTGCCTATTAGGTAAGCTTACTTATTCTCAAACGTTCATTTATTTATTTATTTAATTATCATATTTCTTCCCAAATAATTCAGACCCGGGTCAAGGTAAAAAGACTATACTTAGTAATGGCATGTGTGGAAATGGATTAAAGGAGCCGGGAGAAGATTGTGATTGTAAGTGATTAATATTCATAAACGTATTCCCAAAGCGAGTTCATCGTCTCCTTTCTTATTACTCTTTTTCATCAAAATCAGGTGGCACAGACTGTGCTAATGACCCCTGCTGCAACGGGCCCACCTGTAAATTCAAGAATGGTGCCGTGTGCGAGTAAGTGTAAAAAAAAAATTCACCGATTAGAGCTGCACACAAAACATCCAATCATTTTTTTACAAATCACCTTTTGTTCATTTTAATGTAGCGATCAAAACGACATGTGTTGTCAAAATTGTACCTACAAACCAGCCAACACCGTTTGCCGTCCTTCGAGTTCCTCTTGCGATATCACCGAATACTGCGATGGCACGTCAGGCGATTGTCCACCCGATTCGCATGTATCAGATGGTACAGCTTGTGGCAATGCTAGCGGTCTTGCATGTGCGAGCGGTCAATGTACTTCAAGGGACCTCCAATGTTCTTTGATGGGCTCGAGATTAGGCGTCACTCAATCGTGTTCGGTCGATACGAGTTCTTGTTCCATCAGTTGTGCTAATCCGAACAACACAAATTCATGTTTGGAGATGAGCGCTAACTTTATCGACGGAACTCCATGTGGATTCGGCGGAAAATGCGCCCAAGGGACATGTCAAACTGGATCTCTGAGTATGTTTTTAGAAAGAGACTTTTTATGTTGTTGCCTTCAAAACTAACGTTTGCGTATTTTAGCCGACACGGTGTCAAGCTGGTTAAATCAGAACAAGCAATATGTCATTCCAGTTGGAATAGTGTTGGGCGTGATTATACTATTTTGGTACGCATTTTTTGTTTTCTTTCATTTCGTGCCAAGTTTTGGTGATTCACACAATGTTATCTTAAAATTTCGCATGCTATATAGCGTGTTACAATGTGTCTACCGATGTTGCACAAGGCGTAGAGTACCGAGGGCGCGCGTTTATTCTTCACCTTCCTATGAAATGCGTCCAAATCAGAATATTCCACCCGCATATCCTTCAAGCACACACAATGCAAACGCTTGGGTAGATGTAACCCCCTACAATGGCCCTAACAATCATGATTCAAACTGGGTGGATCCAACGCTTTATAATGGCTCATCGCAACCTTATAGAACTCGATCACCGCCATCACACTCATCACACGGACAAACTCCTTATCTACCGGATCAGTATTATGCCGGTGTGTCATCGCCGGGGGACAGGTCCCGTTATGGGCGATATGAGTAATTTATAAGATATCTGCTTTACATAACTTAAAATGTATAATATTTTTAAATTAGACACGACACAAAAATGTCTCGATATCTATTTCTTTCTTTTTTTTTTTTGATCTAGCTGTATTAGATTTTGCATAACTTATCAAATTTATCACATTCATCTGGATAGACTATCCAGCTTGCAATAAAACATGAATTGGATCACAATAATGTCATTTTATTTAATAGCATTCTCCCACAAATAGAACTTCACGAGCAAAACTTTAAAAAACAATAAACCTTATATCATCCACAACAATTTTCTAGTTTCTAGGTTAATAATGTAACAACCAAAAGGTTTTGACATAAGTTTATAAAATATAATGGGTTGGAATATGTACTTTGTCGGTGCGTGATATCATGAGGAAAATGAAACCAACATAGGTACCCGAAATCCAGATAGATCCAACCTTCAGGGTATAGAAACAGACCATTAAAACAGATCTGTAAAATTATTAAATAAAAATCTACAGAAATTCATCACCTGGAATGATAAAAAAAATATTTCTCTCCTATTCCTTAATTTAAGCACTGGCGGAGCCCTGGCATGGTTTCCAAGATTCAAGAGGTAACAAGTCGCAAGTTGAAAATTTGTCTCTTAACCGGAGCTCTGTCGAGTTTTGTCATTGCAGAGATCCACTTCGCTTTAGCTTGTAATCACAATGTAAGGTAATCGAGTACTCTTTCTTTACAAATAAAAAAAGGTTGAATCGGTAAAAAAAAAAAAAAAAGAAAGAAAGAAAGTATTAGGGTATGATTTATGCAATTCATGAAAGTCAGTGATGAATTAGCATGATTTATTTTCGGAGCGTTGCAACTTTTATTTTGATAGGAGTATGCAGCATGTAAATACAATTGAAAAGCATAAAAGTTGTATAAATATTGATGACATTAATCGAGAATAAATTTAAAGTAGGCATTCCAATAGATTAATTTAAAATAAATTTTATAGTCCGGATGGTGCTCATTATCTATCTGGATTTTTAAACAATTCACCTCTCTTTACATCGAGGGGTTCCGGCTCCATCTGGATAGCATTATGCGAGGTTACATTGTAAATTCAGTTCCATCACTAAAACTACATTGTGCATGAGATTTCGTTAAGTATCCCTTGACTTAAAGTTCCAGCTCATTCGAATTTACCAATTCATTTGGTGCGACTGATGAATATACCGTGATTGACGCATCCAAAGAATTAAGCGACTCCTTGACATGACTAATTTCAGGCCTTTCTTCTGGATTTTTGTTCCAACAGTCTAAAATTTAGCAAACATTATTAAGTACCGAAATAATAATCGATCAGACTTAAGAAAAAAAAGAAGCCAACCTTTGTAAATCTTAACATATTCTAAAGGCGTTCCTTTAACCATGGTTTCTCTACGTCCTGTGGAAATCTGATAGATCAATCCAATCCCATATTCCTCTGGGTGAAAAGGAGGGTATCTACTTGTGATCTCCCAAAGTAAAACGCCTAAACCATAAACGTCCGACTTTTTTGTTTTCTGTGAATTGTTTTTTCCAAAACATTGTGGATCAATATATGGTATAACTCCATTAAGTTTATATGTGGACTGAGTGTTCGATGTATCTCTTAATTGTTTAGATAGCCCAAAATCGGCGAGTTTTATGTTTCCTTCATGGATGAGAACATTTCCTGAATGCTAACAATAATTTAGAACATAAATATGATATTATAATAACACACAATACGTTATGATAGAAATGACTAGGGCAATTACCAAATCTCTATGAATGATGTTTCGTTGGTGTAAATACGCAACTGCACTCGCAAGTTGTTTGGCCATACGTAGTTTGTCATTCCAATTTAATCGTTCAAAGTTTTCATTCAAATATTCACGCAGGGTTCCTCCATCTGCGTATTCGATTACCATAAGATATTCGGATCCTAGCAAGTCTATTTAATTGAACCGTTTCATTTATTAGATTCTAATATCAAATCTATATACTTAAAGCATTATCTATTTAATATGTGCATTACTTTTCTTAGAAACTCCATAGAATCTTAAAATGTTACTATCAAAGTCGACGTCTTTATGCAGTTCGAGCTGTATATTATAGATAAGTTTTATTTTGGGGTTCTTAATGCAACACATTGCGTAACAATAGATAAGTAAGTACCTCTTTAAGAAATGCTTTTTTTGCGTCTTCCTTAAAAACCTTGATTTCTTTAATTGCTACTGTCTTCCCAATACTATTTGAAAAGGCCTTGTACACTTCTCCAAAATGACCACTTCCAATTTTTTCGATATTTTCAAATTCCTCATAGTTAAATTTTCGTACCGTCAACTTATTTATAGAGATATCAAGTTCTGTAAGTTCTGGTATGACGGTTATATTCAAAGAGTTAAGCGACTTCTTAACCTGAATAATTTCAGGTCTATTATCTGGACTGTCGTCCCAACAGGCTAAGTAAAATTTAATGGTCAGTATTAACCAGCTAATAAAATATTTAAAATAAAAATCAAACCTTCATAAATCTTGACATATTCTAAAGGTGTTCCTTCTACCATAGTCTCTCTAAGGCCCTTAAAGATTCTAAAAACCAGTTCAGTATAACCCTCTTTGTGAAAAGGAGGGCGTCCGCTTGTGATCTCCCAAAGTAAGACGCCCAAACTATAAATATCCGATTTTTTGTTTTTCTTATAATAACCGTTATCTGTCTTTATAAAACATTGTGGGTCAGTGTATGGTATAACTCCCATCAATTTATTAGAATGAATAGCTGAAGAGTCATTTAGTTTCTCAGACAATCCAAACTCTGCAAGCTTTATGTTTCCTTTATGAATAAGAACATTTCCCGGATGCTAACAATAATTTATATAATATACAAGATTATCTGAATATAAAATATTACTATTATATTATGCAATAATATGATTAATTAATTACCAAATCCCCATGAATAATGCCTCTACTGTGTAAATACGCGACTACGCTCGTAATCTGTTTGGCCATACGTAGTTTATCATTCCAATTTAATGTTTGAAAGCTTTTTTGAAAATAATTTCTCAAAGACCCTCCATCAGCATATTCAATTATCATAAAGTATTCGGAATCTGTTTAAATGACTAGAACGTTAAATATACTTATAGCATGACTTATTTAATGTATTCGTTACCTACTTTTCTTGCAGATTCCATAGAATCTCAAGATGTTATCATCGAGGTCGGCTTCATGATGCATCCTGAGCTACAAATAACCATAAATAGTCTTATATGGATTTCTTAATGCAACATATTGAAAAATACCTCGTTAAGAAATACTTCTGCCGTGTCTTTATCATCAATAAAAATTTTTTTAATTGCTATTATTTTTCCATTGCCTTTTAAAGAAGCCCTATACACTGTTCCGAAGCCACCCCTTCCTATTATCTCAATAGATTCGAACTCCGCATGCTCAAATTTTCTTATTGACAATTTATATAAAGATCTATCAAATTCTTCAATTTCGAACATGATTTCGATCCGCCGGTGTTTTGTAATTCATACAAGAATGTATTTATAATATGCAGTGTTGCCGCATAATACTGTAACACTGCGTTAGATTACAGTATTACAGTTAAAAATATAAATATTTTATATATAAAAATTTAAATAATTTAAAAGCTCTACTGTTAGCATCGAACTAAATTATTACGAAATATATATTTTTAAAAATTTTCATACCATTATAACCATCAAGACATACTGTATATAGAGATTGATGTATTTACCAATAGTCCTCTTTTCGAATACGTAGTGCCGCAACAGTCCTATGAAATTTAATTGAATTATCATGATGCTCAACAAATAAAACGGTTTTAAAAGAAAACAAATTATGTGCAGTACTTCATTAATAAGAGTTAAAATGATTATTCTTATTACAATTATAATATTTCCTACATATTGCAAAACCAAATATGAAACTAAATATTTATTATACAATATTAAAATTTTTTAAACCGATGACTTCAAAATTATTATAAAACAATATATCAATAGAAATTCATATCAAAAAAATTAAATAACTTATAAATATTTATTTAACTAAATCAAACTTGCTTTTTAATAAATAGAAACTCGAAAAAAATATATTAAAAGTAATTTATAAATTTTTATTTTATATTAAAATAATAAATAATTGTATTTGATAAAAAAATATAATAATTTCTAAAAATTTAATATTAGTATTTAAAATAATAAACAATTGATTATACTTATTATTTATAATAAAATATTAGATAATTATATAATAATTAAATATTACAATTAAAAAAATAGTTTTATTTTTTAAAAATAAAATTTGTTTTATTTTTTTTTTTATTTAAACTATAACTAGATATTAGATGCAAGACTGTTATTAATATTATACTACTATCAATTATATTAATCTTTCATACAGTTGCTTCCAAAAGTTTGATCCACTTATTATATTTTTATTATAAATTTTAATTTTAACAATTTTTAAATCCTTAATTATATAATCAAAAATTATAAATTTCATATATATTATATCTTAATACTAATTTTATTTATTATATTTTTTTTTCAAAATTTTTGATATGTAATTTTTAAAGTTTTATTATTGTTAAAATATTTTTTTCTTTATTAAATTTTTACTTTTGAAAGAGTTTTATTGGCTAAGCAATATGGCATAGTAAATTTATCAATACGTATAGTAAAAGAAATACGTAGAAAAAAAGGATAGTCGAAAGAAGGTCAATTAACGTGAACAGATTTAATGGTAATGATAATGGCAAGATACATATGTGCAAGTAAAAATCTGTTCGCCGAACCATTCTCCATAAAGGATTCATTTTTCCATGAATTTACGCAAAAACAAAAATAAATAAATAAAAATTATTAGTGAATATTTATTATTTAAACATCATTTATATAAGGACCGATAACAAAGTTTGTCAAATAAACAACCATCTACAATCCGTATAATTAAATTATTTTCTAAACATAAAAATAAAATAACTACAATATACGGTACTTAATAGCAGTGGGATATTTAAACTCAACTCGTTTTTTTTATTTACCGTAATTGTATGATGAAATAGCTCATGATCTAAGTGTTATTCCATACGTAAATATTACTCTTAAAAATTATAATTTATACGATGTAATCCACGATCAGACACGAAATGTATCTGACAAACCATCAGAGACATGTATGATGTATAAAGAGCGCCAATTACTGTAAGAAGGATTTTGTATCGTACATAGTTTTTTGTCGATTGATTTAATAATGATTCTTTCAAAAACTCGCCAAAGCATTTTCATCTTTATGGTAGTTTTTTGTTTATATTATACACAATAGGAGCTGCATGCACTAGTGGCCGACTCGCCAGTTGACCCCCAACGATAGTTAAACTACTTTCATCTTTAATATCAATCTTTGACGGAGAAAATTTAACACAAAGTCATATGGTTAATACGAATTTAGGAAAATACTGTATGATTAAGAAACTTATCATCTGATTAAAAAAAAATTTTATCATCAGAACATAGAATAGCTCGCCGTACGTACAGTATTACTTTCCATGCAACTCTACAATACAGGCAAAGAGAACTACCGACTATAATTACCCGACAATAACATGGTTGTTTATACCATATGCTTTCATTGCAACAATCCGAAGCATCAAGAATAATAACACAAACCACTCTTCACGTACAGAGTTAATCGCTTTCAGTTAAATATACACAAAAAAAATCTGATTTCATAATACCGTAAACGGAATTACCGGTCAACACGACACGTTTTATACGTCGAACGAGTAGTACATACGTAAACTACGTATATCTCCCACATGATATATCATTTAGTTAAGAGAAGAATCCTGATTTAACCGTTATTTTTATTATTCAAACCTATACGTAGAAAACATTTCTCCGTAAGAAATAATAATTATATGCAAAAATTCTTTTGCCTACTTAAGTATTTAAATAAGTGTTCAAAATGTCATTAACAAGCGAGGTCTCATTTTTTATTAAAAAAGAAAAAATTTAGAAAGCCTTTGTTTCCCGCTAAGGAAAAAAGAGGATGTGATGCAATCATGCTGTGAATCAAATCATTACTCAAAACAGCTGTCCAAGATAAAAATTAATGATACGTATATGCATCAGCATTCGCCACCCGCTTGTCTTCCTACTAACCTGGATTGTTGATTGAAGTAACTCGTGCTTTGAACTTTATTGGAAAAAATCAAAACGGGTTACCAGAAAATTAAGTTTTCGCAATACATGTCTTGCACAGAAGACGTGGGAAAAAAACCTGAAAATGGTTTCATCCTTTTTAGAACGGACATTCAATATATTATTAAAAAAAATGATCATAATACTGCATCCAGAGATCTCTCCAGAAATGTTGGGCAAATTTGGAGTGAGGTTAAAGACTTGAGAACACACTACCAATATCTATGTGAAAAAAGCAAAAACAAAAAGGATTCGAATAAGAAAGATTCATATAACACAAAAGTTCTAAAGCTTGGTAATATAAATGACTACAGTGATGAACAAATTTTAGATGAATTGATAAAAATAATCAACCGTTCGCTCCCTGAATTAAATATAAAATCACACCATCTCCACTATTACTGCCTTCCATCATTATGCACCCATTCGAAAGGTATTACAGTACATCTATCATTTTTGATGTGTCTGATATTTTTATAACACAACTCTGTTATAATTTGTCAATTTCTAGGACTATGCCCATATGGCGATAAGGATACCTCTATTTCCTCTTTTGACACCTTTCCTGCAAATTTTACACCCGTCACCACTTCCGTTCCCAGTTCTCCCATCACAGCTTCATACTCTTCAGGTTCAAATTTTGACTCTACTTCCTCCTCTTTTCTCACACCTTGTGCATCTTCTGCTTCGGCGGTTTCTGCGAATCCTATGCCCATCCTACCCCCGTTAGACCCATCGATTAGCTATCATCCTAGTTTGACTTCTGGTTTTTTCCATAAAAATGCGCATAATCCTTGCGACTCCCCTACTCAAGGAAACTATATGTCTACTTTGGCTAAAAAGAGAGAAGAGTTGACAATGGAACGAAAAAAAATAGAAGAAGAAACGAAAGAATTGTTAAAAAAGCGAAAAAGAATAGAAGAAGAAATAAGTGAACTGGACGACAGTGCAGATATAATTATGAAAAAACTGCGCGATGAATATGAAGAATATCAAAAACAAAAAAATTTGCAAGATCAAGAGTTACGTAAATGATATGTCAATATTATAGATCGAGATCGAATAAAGTATCTCGAGAATAGAATTTTAATTTATCTATCTTGATTTATTTATAATTCTTGCATTCTGCAGTATTAGTTTTCACTTTTTTTAAATTCGATACTGGAATCTCATCCTTTATTCGTTTGCTCTTTTTGCTTGCTTAGTTTTTTTCTAATGTGCATCTGTGCTTCAAAGTTAACGGCCCAATCCAAGTATATTTAGCAGTCAAATAGAATAATTCGAATAAAATTATTAAAGACAATATAACTTGACACATATCTAATGTTCAATTTTGAGCCATCTCATGGCAAAATTTTCAATAGACTTCCTTCAGAAAGAGACGCAACAAAATATAGTTTTGACGGAAGGTTAGTCCATTCGAGAATCGGTATATATCTTGTTCCCTTAATAGAAAATGCGCAACTTCTTTTATCTAAGTCCAAGCGCACGAAGATTACATCGCCTGCATCGAACGATTGCATGAGTTTTTTAGCACCATCCGACACATCGTGATATATTTCACCACGAGAGCTTACTAACCAACCATTCGCTTGAAATCCTGCCCAATCCGAATAATCTAAACCTTCACTGCATACTCCAATCCCTTCGTCATAACTAATTTTGTCGATTAAAATACAAAGTTCGTGAATCCCACTGCTCATCAGATAATTAGTTCGGACACTTTGATAACCCTTGGATTTACTGCTTATAGCACGCCCATCTAAGCTAACGGATATATCTGGCCAGCAACCATTCTTATCCCACTTAATATCCCTACGAGAGTATGATATTCTGTGACGAGTGTGAAAACGATAAGCTTTCATCATATTTGCAGGCGTAATTAAATCCAAAGGTTCGATAACATCTGTAAGAACATTTCCATCGACATTTCGAAGATCAATGAATTCGATTAAAGATGCCAATTTATTGACAATAGAAGCACGAGCATTCGAAATATCAGGCATCATCCAACAACGAATATCCATTCCGTGTTCAATTTTCTTCCACTTTGGCAATCTTTTCTTTAAAACAGAAAACGCTTCTGGGGTCTCCTCTTTCGCTGATAATAAAATTGCATAGCGTAGGATGGAATATCCATTGGAGATCAAAATATTCTCTTCACATGTTTTGGAGAGTAAGTATTGCAGCGCTTCGAAAGATAGTCGACCGATTTCAATGGTATCTAAAGGAATTCTGGCGACTGATTTAACTAGGAAGTCGACGATTGCGTTTTCCGCCGATGATGACAGGTGCTGAATTACTTTTGTTAGCAATTCAGGTGCATTAGATTCCTCTTGACAAATCTTCTCATAATAGCCAAGGATAGACCCTTTAAGATTATCTAATTGAAAATAATCTGCCGCTTGAAAAATATCGAATGCAGTATCAACGGACAAGGTATCTTCGCCGACTAATCCAGTGTATAAATAGGTGAAGATGAACATCATCACTGAGATCTTCACATCCGGAAATGATACTTGTTCTTCGAAGGATTCCTTCATCCCGTTATACAACAATCGATCGAAAAAGTCTGAACGGGCTGCAAGAATCGCGCGATTTCCGTGAAGAACACCGTCTTCACAATTAATTTTTAGATCGCCGTATTGAGGATTATTAATCAATAAGATCAAGTCTTCGGCGAGGGAGTATCCACGAACCATGTCAAAAATGTTTTTCGTTAATTACGTATATTATGAATATCTGTTAGAACTGATAGGGAAGAAACTTCAGCACAGGTGTTTTATTGTTGCGTGGTTGAGTACGCGCTTACTGATCTGGTCAAATTAAAGAAAGAGTGACACGAGTCGATTTACTGTGCAAAGTTGCTGCATTAAAAAAAATTTTTTTAATAATACGTAATTGATATTTATCATATCAAATAAAAATATTACTAAAACTAATTCTCATCTTAATTTTTCTATATTAAAAAATATTATCAACTTAAATTTTTTGACAATCAAAAATATTAATTTTGATTATTATTTTTTTAAAATCATAACTGATATTAAATACAAACTTCTTTATTAATAATTAAATCTTAAATGATGACATCAATTATCTTATACAAAATATATTCTTTCTTTTAAAAGCTTCCTATTTCAAATTTTTTAAAATTATTGAAAATTTTTTCTGCTTTCATATAGTTTATATATTAGATCTATATTCAGGTCTTTTAAATCTTTAATTTTTTTTAATAATATTATATTTTTTTTTTCCTCACTCTATTACTTTAGTACAGTAACTATTCTAGGTATTCTCCTTAAAGTTTTTTCTCATTTTATGACAAGGCTTATTGATTATACTTTATTTAAATACTAGAAAATTTTGAGTTGTATTTTGAGATAATTCTTCAAGAAAATGGTTTCATTTTTTTTTTATGTATTTACAAATTATATTGAAAAGGTTTTTGTTAAATTGTTGAATCTTGTTTAACTATCTACTTATCCAATTATTAGTTGTAGAGTAAACTTTTTTCTTATTTTTGATTTCTTTACTAATATAGTGATTAATTTTTTTTTTTTGCTTTACACTTTATATCTTTTCTAACTTCTTTGGTAATTGAATATTTGAAAAGATATCTTTTTTTAAGTTCACATATTGGACAAATCATTATGTCTAAATATCTGATTTCTATTTTTTGAGTATTTGCAATACTGGAAGTTTGTTAGAATTAAGTTAATCAAGAAGCTTTTATCTTTATTAGTTTTAAAGGAAATATTGAAGATATTAAATAGATTAAACTGATTTCAGAAAATTAATCAATCTATAATTTTGTTATTTTGAATTTATAGCTCTTGAATCTTTTTCTATGCTATCCAATCTTCCCAATTCTTTTCTTGTTTAATATTTTAACAAATTCTTTAATACCGATTTCTATTATATGTTAGTTTCATATAACTATTATAAGGACTTTTCCTAACTCTAATAGCTAATTCTAGATTATCAAATTTTCATATTTAGTTTATTTAGCAAATAGATCATTTGATTATTGAACTTGTTAATCTTATAAACCTTGATTTCATAATTGCCAAAATGAGATTTTTCTTTTTTACTAGTTCTTTGATCTTACTTTATATTGGCCAATTGATAATCTTTATCTATCTCCTAGTTGATATCTCTATTTGTGAACAGATAAAATTCCATATCTTAATTATAATATTACAATCAATAAAAATTAAAACTATTATGTTTTAAGGAGCTATATATAGTACAATAAGAATAATCAATGTTTTCATTTTAATTTCTGATGGCTATGTTAATATATTTGTTGAAAATTGTTTTTTAACTTTGTTATCCTCTATTAGAATCTAAGCAAAATCCATTTCAAGTTCATTATATTTTATTTATTTTTTATAGAAGTCGTTTGTGCAAAAAGTGAATTGATTGATTATATTTCTTCTATTATATTGCAGGATATCTGTAAGTTTATTTATATATTCATTTTATGAAATAACTTGTCTTATTAGCACAGTTTTTTGGTTTTCTATCTGAATTTCTATTTTTACAGGTCTGGAAATAAATGAAATTAATATCTGTTGCCTTATAGTTATTTGTCAATCTGAGGGATTATCTGATAAAGGACTTGATTTTTTTTTCAGATTGTTATATCTATTTAGTTGTGAAAAAAGATTGATTTACAATAAAACTATTTCTAATACTTGAGATAATCTATCTGATTGAAGTGAAATATAAGTTTCTAATAGGATTATATTATAGCTTATATGAAGTAAACAGGATTTTATTATTTTTTTTTTTTTTAAGCTGGCGAAGTCATGCCTTTAGTTTTTATTTAATTATTAATACCTTCTTATATTCACAAATCTAATTGCGAGAAAATATATTTATAATTAGAAAAAAACTATAGACTCAGTATCTTTCAAATCCTGTGACTTACTGTAGTTTATTCAAAGGAGTGAATGTTAACATATCATGACTCCACTAACACTAATATTTATCAAAAAAAGAGAATTGATAAAGAAGCCATTTTGTAAGATATTTTTCATATTGTAATTTGTTAAATCAATCTATAGCTGTTTGGTGACAGTGGATGTATTAATGTTTGATGATGTTTTTCCTTTGTTTAAAAGTTTTTAGTTGCCACTTGTTGATTTTTTCTTTATCCTCTTTGTAATTTCTTGTGATTTTTCTCATTCTACTACTAATTCATATCTAAGCTTCCATACCTTCTTTTTTTCCTTCCAAAATTATGTTGTAGCTGATTGTACTGCTGTTCGTTCTGCTTCTATATTTCCAGTAATTTCCTCTGCTGCTTTCATTATCTTGCAGCTAATTATTCCCCTAATAATGTCTATCCATTCTATGTCATAATCCCAGTTTATTCAATTTGCTGATGTTAGAGAGAGAAGTGCATGACTCCATTTCATCTGTATAGATTCTATTTATTTGTATCCATTTGTTCTTGTTGCACATTCTTGTGTAAATAGAGTGCTGTATTTATTTATTAGTCTTGTCTTGTTGGGTCCACAGGTAAAGGGTTGCAAACTTTCTCTTCCTGTTTTCTGCAGATTGCACAGATAGAACTTTTATATAGGTATGGTTTTCTTCTATTCAAATTGTTCATCGTAGGATATTCATTGAGCCATATTTTGAGGTGAAATATTCTATCATTATGATCCATTGGATTCATTTGTGTTGTTGTGATTTTGAATGGCATGATTGCTTGCATGGTCATATTCCAGTCAATTTTCTTTGCTTTCATGCCATCTAACCACTCCTGAGTGCACCTCAAGGTTCTCCATTTGCTTGCCCATTTTGTCTTAAACAAGGTCTTTCCAAGTGTCTTGAAGGGAAGGTCTGTGAAGAATTGATCCTATCTGAGTATTGTCATATCACTTGTTGTGTTTAACTCTTGAATCTTGATTATGTCCTTGTGATTATCTATTGGTGTTATTTTTGCTAGCTTATCTACTTGCACATTTCCATAGTTTCCTGAGTGACCTTTTATTTTGGTTCAGCTGACTTGTAAGTTCTGTGTTACTATGCTGTCACAGATTGTGTTGACTGGACATTGGTTTGGGTTTACTTGTTTCTAGTTTCTTTTATATCCCCTTATGATTACTCTTCTTATAGCATTAATGGCTCCTTAGCTATCTATGAGAATGTTGACCTTCTTGTATGCACTTATTGTGCATATTGCTGTTAGTATCATTGTAAGTTTTGCTCTTGTAGAAGATAGAGTGTCTTGTGTTTTGACTTGAAATGATGCGACTTCTGTGTCTGTCCCTGTCATAGCTATCCATCCAATTCCCATTCTACTGTCCTAGTATTGTCTTTTGTAAGAGCCATCTGTGTATATCTGTAAGTTATCATATAAAGTGATTTCTTATGCTATTTGTTAAAGTTTTAGGAGTGACCTAGTAGGACCTTTGAGTTTTTTAATAATAAGTGCCTTTATGTTTGATTTTGAATCTAGGTGTATAGTTGGAGGTATTGTGTCTGGGAGTTGTGTGTTAATTTCTCTTAAAGTAAGTTCGATGCCTTGTGGAGATAACTGTAATCTATTTATGAAGGGCTTTCTAGTACTGATTTCCTGTTAGCTAGAAATGCACCCCTTTATATTTTTCTGGACATTTATGTTGACTGACTTTATCATGAGTTGGGACATTATGCATTGTTATTGATCTTTGTAATCTTTTTTGAGCTTGGGGTTATTAAAGGGGCAGTCTTTACACTTGAACATTGGAGATATTTGTTCTTTCCGAATTATATAATTAGCTATTATATATTGGTTATCATACATTTTCTTCTTCTTAGTTATTATTGTTGTCCTATTTTTTTTTGTTGCTAACCATTTGATTATGTGTAGTTGTTGATTAGGTAATACTGGTGTATTTGTTCGGAATCTGTTTGTCATATGTTCTTGGATGCTATCTTCTTCTGTGAGATCTGTCCTTTGTTAGTATTCTGTCCTTTTTGTATTCTAATCAGATGTGGCTCTTTTAAGCTCGTAGAACCAGAGTGGGGTTCTGCCTTGTTTGCCTAGATTGATCTTACCTATTGCCATAACAGGCTTCTTGTTATTGTCATTAAGTAGCTGGTCATAAAATAAGATTCCTCTACATCTGAAAACATTTCTATGTTAATTATACTATTCCTCTAATACCATTTCCTTGATTGCGGTGCCTTCTTTTTTGACGAGTTTTCCAAACCATGTATGTTCTGTTGGGGCAAATGTGATACCTTAAAGCTTTAGCATATTGAGGATCTCATTCGTTAAGCTTTTTCCTTTCTTGGTTCAAAAAGGTAGTCTATCTGTTAGGATCGATATGTTAGATCAATATTCATTTTGTAGGTGTTGTAGTCTAAACTGCATTGTTATGCTGCTTAGATTATAGCAGTTAAGTCTGTTGAGGAGGTTCTTTTTATATATAGGAATCTGTCTATCCCATAAGTTGAATAGTTTGCAGCCAAAATTCACATTAATGATACAGTTTGGAATTGTTACTAATAATCTGGCCTTGTGCTTAAAGACTTTGTTGATTTTGCTACTTATATTATCACACTCTTTTTTTGAAAGGACCAGGTCATTTAGCATGTATTCTATTGCTAGAAATAATGTATGGTTGATAATATAATGTATCTATTTGTTAGTTATCTTTTTCCAGGATGGTATTCTGGTGATAATGTCCACTTTCCTTCT